AAATAAAAAGAACTACACAAGTTAGCATGGTCGTGCCATATGTATGCATGGGTGTGCTTTATATCAACACGATCGTGCTTGAAATCGAGGCATAAGCATGCTGATGAGAAAGGACTGAGCATACCTGCTTCTTAATTTCCTGATTTTTTTTTCAATTTGTGTGCTAAATCTCTAAAATTCATGTGAGTCTTCACACATGTCTATCTATAACAATCACCAAAGTAATTAGTGTAAAAATCCCTTTAAAACAATAATAAACGCACATGAGCATGTCCAAAAAGTGCATCAAAATATGGGCTTATCAAGGAACATAACTAGGTCAAGTATAAAATAGATATGCCCATTTACACGTGCTCCTGATAGATATAGTCCTTCATTAATCAAGAAGAAAAAGGGAAAAGGAGTGTAGTCTTATTAGTCATATGTAATTTAATTTTTATATTAGTAATTCCTATTGTAATGTTATTAATGAAATATTTTATTAAGGGTGAAAATTAAAGTATATTCCTGTAATGCCTCATATTTTTGTAATATAGTTTGATTATTAATATAAGTGTTTGCATTGACCTTTCCGTGTTGTGTATTTATTATGTATATAAAAACATATATCTATGTGTGATGTGAATGGATATTGGAGTTGCACTTAAGCGTGTGTGATGAACTTTGAATGCCAGTGTGTGTAAATATATTGTATATGATTAGATTGGATTGATTGGGCTAAGAAAACAGGTGAAGGGTATAATACTAGGGCATGAAACTGTCGCCTTCTCGTTGCAGCGAGAGGTCTCTCGCTATAGCAACAAAGCAATAATTTTGGGTGCATTTCTGGGTGCAGACTCACTGTAGCGAGATTCTGCAAAAACCAGAATGCAATTCCCTCTGAAATTTTTGCTGTAGTGAGAGAGGGTGTAGCTGCAACGAGGAAACCTTGCTGCAGCGAGAATTTCTTGCTGTAGCGAGAGTGTCGCAACCAGAGAAGATTTAAAGGGGCTAGGGCTTGGGAAACTCATTTTTTCCTTTTCTCTCTTCGAGGTCCTTTCGATTCTATTGACCCAAAACCATATTTAACTGATTAAATTGTTTCCAAATCCGTTCGTGAGCTAGATTGAAGGTTGGATTTGTGTTGAGAACACTTGGAGGTAAGTTTCCATGGTTAGGGTTTATGATTTCTCGTCCCCACTCACTGTTTCTTCTTGGGTTCTCATGGGGTTCTCACATGTAATTAGGTCAAAGTTCGTGTGGGAGAGCGCCTACCTTATTATTTTGGTGTGTGGGTCTTCACTTGAGGTAAGAGAGACTCTACCCTATCTCATTGTGTTTAATTTACCATTTATTTCATTGAATGTTATGATGTGGCTGAGATAGAGAGTAGGAAATGCGTGATTTGATGAAGTTATTATGTGTTTGGAGTGAAATGTGAATTGATTGTGGGGTTGACATATCCTTGATTGAGAATGTGTGTGAGCATGTTGAGGAATGATGATTGAATGATGTAAATGGTTAGAAATGGATGGATATGGATGACCTGTTAATATGCTGTTATGAATGAATGTGGGCATTTGTGTCGTGTGTGCGAACGACTATGGGCCTATGTGCCGTGTAATGTTAGTGCGAATATGAATATTGTTTGTAATTGAAAATATGTGTGTGAATGGGGCGTGTTGAACGCCGTTGTAATGATGCTATGAATAGTTTAGCGATACACTGGAGGTGTGAAAAATAGGAACGGTAGAAATACCTTGAGGAAGAGAGAGTGGTGGTGACACCAACAGTGAGCGTGGGTGCACCACGAGACACTCACTTTCCTCCTAACTAGACCTCTGATCACTACCTTTGCTGAGCGACCCGTGACTGCCCACGCAGTATCCTTGAGGTGGGGTAACCGGCGACCATTCATAGTGTGAAACTGTGATCATAGTGCCACAGTGAGCATGGCTAGGTGCGGTAAGCGCACGTGTATGAGATGTTGGTGCAGTGAATGCACCGATTGTGTCTTGAAATGGAATGAATGATGAATGATGATTGTGACTGAGATTGAGATGCTTGTCTTGTGGATGCATGATTTAAAATGTGTTAATGAATGTGTAGTGTTTGAGGTGAGTTTCTATGTTCATGTGTGTTGAATAGTGTAGAGTACTCACCCTTACATTTACTTTTCAAGCAACCAAGACGATCAACACCGGACTCAGTGAAGGAAAGATGAACTGCTATAGGACTTAGATTGTATTTTGAAATTATGATGTAACTAAATTAGTCTTGTAGCAGTCTTTGATATAAACTTGTAATCCTTTATTGTTTTGAACTGTTTTATGAAACTCTATGATGAGATCTTTTATTTAAATAAAAATTTTATTACTCCTATTTTGCGAAATTAATACTTGAAAATTAATTTAAGGTGTTACAATTCCCGTCCTCTTAAACACCATGACAAAAATTGTAGTGTGGTGGTTGCTTCATTTGTCATATATCCATTTTATTTAGAAAATGAGTTAATTTCGCATGACCTTTTAAACTACGCTTTAAGGCAAGATTAGGACAAAGTTTGGGACTTCAATATCTGCGCCACTTGGATTCGTTCCCAATAACCCAAAATTCCTTCTTGTAAACTTGCAAACTTCATAAATCTTATAGAGTTCGTTCATGTAAGCGTGTTAGTCAATGTTTTGACTACAACAAGCGGCAAGCACATGACAACGTGGGTATTTATCAGTTTGCATGTTTCCACAATCACAATAATTTTGTCTGAGATGAAGTCTATATTCTTAGCTATTGGATAAATTTTGAACATATAAAGCCTCATTCCATTTATCAAATTGAGTGACACAAAGGTTTCTTGACCCCTGCTCATTTGATTGAAGGTGACTTGTGATAGTATTAGAGAAAAAAATGTCTAGCATTTTTTCGTGCATAAGCCTCACTATCTTTAGTAACGACGTATTTTCGTAAATTTTCATGAAAAAAATGTTAAGCATTTGTGGTCTCACCCTCAACAATAACGAAAGTAATCAACAATATATTCTAATTTCTATCTTATGCAACTGCCACTAGTATATTTGTCATATAAATGTGTTTCATCAACCTGCACAAGTGGCTTACAATGTGGGATTGCTTTAATGCAAGGACTAAAACTCCAAAAAACTCGACGTAATATTTGAACATTGGAAACCAATTCATGATTGCGGTAAGCGTATGTAGCATCTAATTGAACAATAGGTCCTTGAACAACATCACACATTGCTATGCACTATTGTGGCAAAGCTTCAAATGAGGCTTCACACTTTTCAAATACTTTTTCAATTGCCTTTTGCTTTGTCAATCATGATTTTCAATACGTTGTCGTGTACCTAAATTGAGATTGAATCTCTCCAATCACTAATTTTATTTTAAAAGAATGATCAAATTCTACCATTAACTCAATATGTTAGGCAATTGTGTCTGGCTTTCTGTGATCTTGAGAAATGCTTTAACTAGTACAAGTATGTATCCTTTATATTTTCTAATTTCCCAAAAGTACTTATTCTTCCTAAAACTAGTTCAAAAAAATCACATGCAATCTATGTCATACCCTACACATTTGCAATAAAATGTATTTGTTTCTGACTTGAACACTTTGTAATATGTTCCTTTTGATATACTATAATACTTTATTGCTTGTATAATAGCTTATTTGTCACTGAATTGCCTTCCAACATACAATTCACCATCTATCTCTATGTTACCTATCAATAGCGAACATAAACTAATTAACAAAACTAAAATTAAATTTAGTAACATAATTATAAATTTTACATACTTAAGTTTGCATACTCTAGAAACTCAAAAACATTAATAGCATCAAGATCTAAATCTCACATGAAGAGTGACTCTCAAAAATAGATGTTGTCCAACCAAATGGGCTTTTCATCATCAACATCATCATTAAAATTCTTATCGCTTCCATATTCTCTTTCAAAGTCATTGTCATTACTTTTAGTGTTATTTTATTCTCATTCTATCTATGTGTCTACCATGTTGCTCGTATATTCTTCTTCAACCTCATTATCTTTTAAAATAACATACAACTCAATGGTACCATTTGGAGAATGACACTGCTGATGTATCTAAAACATTTATTGAACATCTATTAGAATTGTATGATATTGAATGAACCTTTAAATATCAAGATTGGACATCGATACATAATATTTTCCACCATTTTTAGAAACAGGAGTTTAATACATTGATAAAGCTAATACTTTAAATCTCAAATGATACATTATATGGAAAAAACAGACATGTTAACTTCTCGCATATAAATGTCACACCTTCATTCATATTTAGTACAATCTCACCATTAAAATAAATTACAATTACTACACTTATTTTTTCTTCTAACAAACACAAAATTTACCATTATAAGATTAACAAATATTTGAAAATATTTTAGGAGCAACTTATTATCCACAAAATTATAGTATTTATAATCTCACCAATTAAAAATCATCACTAACAATTTATTACTAAACAAAATTTCTTTAAGAATTTTCATGAGTCAAAGTCATCACCTTAAAAAAAATAAAAGCTTTCTTAATAGTCAAAAATTGTCCACGATGTTTTTTAATCTTATTATTTTTTTTAAATCTCACTAATGACAATTTTTAATGGTGAAAAATTAATATTTTTGTCAATTATGTGCAACTAATTTACTAACATGTAAAATGGTCATTATTATTTTTCGGAAATACCATGTTCAGTAAATTTGTAAAAGGTTATATTTTGGTAATTTCATAATTAAAAAAATGATCAAATAAAATCTCTATCAGAATTTTCGTTTTGTTTTTTTAGTTAAACAATAATAGTTGTAAAAGAAGAGGGAGAATCTCTAGAATGCATTACTTTGGCGATAAAAGTTTTATTTTGGTAAAAACAAATTTAAGTAAGGGCAACTTGTGAATGGGTGTGGGCCCAATGAACAGTGAACCGTCCTTTACCTCTCTACACTTTACCAATTGGATAGGAATGGGGATAAAGCTAAAGCAGCAGAAGTAGAACGACGCTTCTTGCGGTGGATCCAGACGAAAGAAAGAAAGAAAGAAAGAAAGGAAATGGCCACGCCGACAGTCAAGGTGTACGGACCACCCCTTTCAACCGCCGTGTCGAGGGTCTTAGCCTGTCTCCACGAAAAAGACATTCAATTCCAACTCATTCCTGTGAACATGTCCAAAGGGGAGCACAAGAGCCCCGATTTTCTGAAGATTCAGGTCTTCTATTATCACTATATAATTATTATTCACTTCACTTCAACCCTTTTTCTCACAATTGCTTTAATTTCTTGCAGCCCTTCGGGCAAGTGCCAGCATTTCAAGATGACGACATTTCCCTCTTTGGTGAGTCAAATTCCGCCACCCTACACCTACACTCACCTATCTTTCCGACATGTGTTTAACTTGATAATTTTTGCAACATAAAACAGAGTCCAGAGCGATATGCCGTTACATTTGCGAGAAATACGTGGATAAGGGGAACAAGGAACTGTTCGGGACGAACCCATTGGTAAAGGCGTCGATAGATGAGTGGTTGGAGGCAGAAGGGCAGAACTTCAATCCACCATCTTCAACTCTAGTGTTTCAGCTGGCATTCGCTCCTCGAATGAAATTAAAGCAAGACGAGGGAGCCATCAAACTCAATCAAGAAAAGCTCGCAAAAGTGCTCGATGTCTACGATAAGAGGCTTGCCGAGAGCCGTTTCTTAGCCGGAGACCATTTCTCTCTCGCCGATCTTTCCCATCTTCCTAACGGACACTACTTGCTCGCTGCCACCGACACTGCCCCGCTCTTTACTTCTTCTAGAAAGAACGTGTCCAGGTGGTGGAATGAGATCTCCAACCGTGACTCCTGGAAAAAGGTCGTTGAATTGCAGCGAAGTGCTTGACTTCACTCTTGTCTGTGCCCATCCTTTCATTTCTTTCAACTACTCCCATGCTTTTGTTGTTTTATATTTTGCCCAATCTTCAGATTTGGAAAATTATGGTTTCCTTTATTTGTGTTGGATTTGGATTCCCTAAATCGGAAAAGCTTTCCTGTTCAATAAAAATCAGTTAGTAATGTTTTTAAAGTAACTTTAAAATTTATCGTTTTATTTAGATGGAGTAACGCAGAAATAGAATTGTTGTTAAATATTTTGTTACTTATGACACTGTTTTGTTTTAAAAACTTATTTATTGACCGCCATAATAATTTTGTTTTTAATGGCGAGGAAACTAGTGGTGAGGTGTTGCAAGCATTTGGATGATGAAAATGTTAGTGTAGTAAATTTGGTTAAAATTGTAATTGTTGAGTTGAAGGCTAGAAATTTGGTCTTGAAAGATATAACGAGTGAAATTGAATATTTTGAAGGTGCCTTTTTCAACCAAAATAACAGGAAATTTTCCATCACTCTTCACGGTGCACCCGTGATCTAACTAGCCTCTACCGAATATGAAAATCCAACTCATGACTACGGATCATCATCTCAAGTTAATTTTATGGTGCTAAGGCCCAAGCAATACAACAAGCCCGTTTATTCTTATGACCCAAAAATAAAATAAAATAAAACAAATTTCTACCATCCTAGGTCTGTATTCTGTACACTGGATGAAACTTGTGAACCGAACACAAGTGAAGCATGAGCGTTACTGAAGGGGCGAGATTCATGCCCCTAAGGTGCGAAAGTAACTTGATGAAGTTGTTGTAAATTATAAATTAGCCCTGGTATAAATCAGCATGGTTGGGTGCGTAACGTGTTTTGGCTTTTTTTTGCATAATCACAAGAAAATGCATAAAGACCTCCTTGGCAGTTTCTACTATTAGAATGATTAATAAGTTGTTGTGATTGAAATTAATAACGACGATAGTGGAGAAACCATTTTAAGTTTCGAAGGTTGTTGATCCTGAATTCAGAATAATCACTGCTGGCATAATTTGCTTATAGAATTGAATGATTATATATTTCCCTTAACTTTATTGTGCCTTAGAGAATAACGCAGCTTAGCTATATTTAATTTGATCTTATTGGCACACTTCGGGTAGATTGAGGGAAGATTAATACAATTTATAATACTAATGAAAGTTCGTAATTAGATTACTGCATTTGCTGGAATTCAGACCACATGAATATCGGTGTAAAGTATAAACTGGGCACCGAAAAATGATAGGGATCTGAATTGAAAAATTAAGGGAAAATCAATACTTCAAAATGTAGATCAAACTTAATATATTTTCATACCCAATCAAGATTTTAAAAAATGCTATTGCGGTATTTAAAAAAACGACCCAGTACACGTATGTATCAATTGTATATGGACGACATTTTAAGCTTGTCGAGCAAATCCGAGCAGGAACAACAGAATGATCGATTAAATTTATCACAATTGCTCCCAAGAAAAAAAAAATTTAAACTGGTCACTATTGAGCAGTAACTCAAACATTAGAACAAAAAAGGACTCACAAAACAATTATTTTGTCTTTTTTATTAAAACTTTATTTGGGAATTAAAAAAGAGGAAAAAACTGATTATACAATATAAGAATGACTCACAAATCAATTCTTTTGTCTTTTTTTTAAAAAACTTTATTTGGGAATTAAATAAGAAGAAAAGTTTATACAATGAAAGAAGGACTCAGATCTATTTATTTATTTATTTTCATCGCACTTTATTTAAAAATTAGTTCTAAGAAGAAAGAGAAAAGAGAAAGTTTATATTTAAAAGTTTTTAAATAAAAGATATAGTTTATAAACATTCTAAAATATTTTTTAGTATCACCATTTTAGTTCCATTTTAATTTTTTTCTCTCTCTTTAAATTCGGAAATAAAGTTTAGAGTACAATAATTTAAAAAAATAGAAGATATAAGTGAAAAAATTAGCTTTGATAATTTATTTATAATAAGTAAGCATAAAAGGACGTTAAACATCTATTGACACTAAATTACAAGAAAAAATAAATATTAAACTATGTGTAATACTTAATTTTGTATTTGAAATAATAATTATGAAAGATAAAATTAAAAAATTGTTTATTTTAAACAACTTGTTCTTTTAAAATACTAATTAAAAATTACAGACTTATTTTCTGTGTAAATTCAAAAAATGATTGACTAATGGTAAAAGGGGGAAAGAGAAAAAAAGCAAATGACTCGGTAGAATGAGAGGTAATGTGTGGCTGTTGGATCATGCAAGTGTTTAAACACGATTAAATTAAAAAACGAGAGATAAGGAAGGCAAGAATCACGCGCGAAACACGTGGAGTGAGGCAACACTGCAGCCACTGGGGGATGCCGGGATGGGAATAAGAACATAGACACCACACAAAAACAAACCACCAAAGTACAAAATAAAACCACCAACACACACACACGCCCCAATCGCTCACTTCACTCCTTCTGTTTCCCAATGGACTCAGTCTTCCTCTTCTGCACCGGCGCGCTCCTCGTCGGCGGCCTCTACTGGTTTGTCTGCATTCTGGGCCCGGCAGAGCAAAAGGGCAAACGCGCCACGGCACTCTCCAGCGGCTCCATCTCGGCGGAGAAAGTCCAAGACAACTACAAACAGTACTGGTCTTTCTTCCGCCGCCCAAAGGAGATCGAAACCGCAGACAAAGTCCCGGACTTCGTGGACACGTTCTACAACCTCGTAACGGACATCTACGAGTGGGGCTGGGGACAATCCTTCCACTTCTCACCCTCGATCCCAGGGAAGTCACACCGCGAGGCGACGCGCATTCACGAAGAGATGGCGGCGGATCTCATCCAGGCCGAGCCGGGGCAGCGAATCCTGGACGTGGGCTGCGGGGTGGGCGGGCCCATGCGGTCGATCGCGGCCCACTCAGGTGCGAGCGTGGTGGGCATCACGATCAACGAGTACCAGGTGAAGCGGGCTCTGTCGCACAACAAGAAGGCGGGCCTGGATTCGATGTGCCAGGTGGTGTGTGGCAACTTCCTCCACATGCCCTTCCCCGACAACAGCTTCGACGCCGCGTATTCAATCGAGGCCACGTGTCACGCGCCGAAGCTTGACGAGGTGTACGCGGAGGTGTTTCGTGTGTTGAAGCCTGGGGCTTTGTACGTGTCGTACGAGTGGGTGACAACTGATAAGTACGGGGGGCAGAATGCGGAACACGTGGAGATTATTCAAGGCATTGAGAGAGGGGACGCTTTGCCTGGGCTGAGGAGTTACTCTGATATTGCTCAGACGGCGCGTAGGGTGGGGTTCCAGGTTGTGAGAGAGCGCGATCTGGCTCTTCCACCTGCACACCCTTGGTGGACCCGCTTGAAGATGGGTAGGATCGCCTACTGGCGGAACCACCTTCTCGTTTCTGCACTCGCCTCTTTGGGAATTGCGCCCAAAGGAACCGTCCATGTTCACGAAATGCTCGTTAAAACTGCTGACTTTTTGACCAAAGGGGGTGACACTGGAATATTCTCCCCCATGCACATGATCCTCTGCCGAAAACCTCTACCCTAGCTTACCCTTCCCTTCAATCTTTGTTATTTTAATCTGCTGTTACCGTCTACTTTGTGTAATTTTATTTTTCTTATTCTAATTAGCTCGCATACTTGTCGTTAAGGTTTGTTCCACCGGGTCCCTTTATCTTTTGCTCAATTGATTTTTTTATATTTTAATATTTTCCCAAAGCATCTCCTCATTGATCCGATCATGTTGTCTGATTAACTTGGTTCTGTTGTGAGGCCGGGGAGAAGCATAACGAGAATGTTCCATTGAACGAAGGATGTTTGAGTCTCTACATTGGCAACACTGGTAGCGTTATTTATTGTTTGGGTTTTTAGAATCAGAATCTCTGCTTCACGCATGCTTTGGATCTATCAATGTTTTAGTTGATTAATCATGGTTCAGATTTAGAGACAAAATAACTATTCATAATTTAATTCAATTCCGTTCTGTTTGAAAAGTGCTACATAATCACTTTATTTAACTGCTTTTTCTGCTTCATTTAAATTTATCAAAAGTAACATTTCTATTCTCGAGAGAGAATTGAGGCAAAACGGAATGAGTTGGGTTCATACGCGAGCCATGAAATTAAACATTTGCTAACTGGTTTTGTTCCTCTTAAAAAGGATACTTTGAATCCTCTTTTTTTCCAATAAAAAAATTAAAAAAAACTTGCGGGTGCATTTTATCAAATTGTTAATATTATTGCTTTCACCGGATGTTCTGGATTCATTTTTAAATATTCATATTTTATGTTTATTTTAATATTATTAGTTATAATATTTGTATTAAATTTTTATAATTTTTAAATATATTTATAGAACACGCACCTAATTTTTTTTCTATTTGTTGTCATCAATTAGCCTTTCCATTGACTCTATATACGAACGGGAGAAAGAACATAAATCAAATTGCCCATTATTTTATCCTCCATCAACACTTATTTGTTACTCTATTCTTTATAATAAAATAAAATAAAATAATGAAATTTATAGTTGTTAAAATTTATAATATATAAAATAGAATTTATGCTTATTAAAATTGAGAATATTTAAAGTCATTTTTATATATAAATGATAAATTTGTATATTATTTTATATATTTATAATAAAATTTATAATTATTAAAGTTTAAAATTAAAATAAATAAATAAAATTTGCCTTAGTATAAAATATAAAATATAAACGAATTCATTATAAATTACAATATATTAAAACTAACTGAAATTAATTATAATATTTTTTATAAGTTAAAAATTAAATTTATAATTAATTCATACTTATTATTTTTGAATTGTATATAAAGAAAATTTATTAGAATCGATAGTTATATTATGTTAAAAATAAAGAAAAAAATATTCATACTATAAATTGCCTTAAATTAAAGTTTATTGAAATTAATTATAATATTCTTTTATAACTTACAAATTGAAATTAGAATTGATGGTTATATTATGTTAAAAAAATTGCAATAACAAAACGATTGTGAATGACTTTTAATAAAAAGATTAAAAAAATTTATATAAAAAATAGTGAAAGTTGTGATGAGTTAGTAAAGTAAGTAACTCATAAATAAGTTAGCTCTTAAGTATTTCAAATAGTTCATTTTTTAACATAATTTTTTTAAGGTTAAGAAAGAACATAATTGTTTATTCAGGTGAAACCATATCATATTCTTTCAAACTCATTCCATCTCAAGAAAAGAATTTATTTTGTATTTTCAATGTAAAGTTCAATGATAAATTGAGTGGTTATGGTTAAAATTTTACTTGATAAAAGTTTAAAAAGAGAAATCCAAGGCAGGAGATTTAATGAAGTCACAAAATCCTCTTTTAAAATGAATATTGTCATAAAAGTTTTATTTAATTTCTCTTTCTTCTATTTTCATTTCTTCTTATTTCTCCTCTTTAATAGTATACAAACTTGTTTTTCACATCTACCCTAAACCTACGTAACCATTTTTCCTTTAGATTATTATACTTTCAAATGTAAAGGTTTCTTATTTGAAAACATCATATATTTATCTTAATTATCTTAAAAATTATCATTTTGGTTTGATCAAAATAAGGGTAATGACTCAAGATATTTTGTTGAACCAAAAAAAATGCAGAGAATTCACTTTGCTATAATTTTTGCTAAAGTCAAAGTTATCCACCTAAGTTAAATTTAGACAGATGAATTTAAATTTTTCGTCAAATTCACTTAAGTTAATACACATTCGCTTAAGCAAATAAAAAATAAAGGTGAATCTAAACTTTTCGTCAAAATTAGTTTAAATCACAACTCATGCGCTTAAGCGAATCAAAGATATATATGAATTTAACAAATATTCGGGTAAGCTAATATTCAACGCTTAAGCTGTTATTGTGTTGTATTTCATAGCTTAAGCGAATTATGTTCTGCTTAAGCGAAAAAACTTGGCTTGGCGAATGTTGTAGAATTTGTGCAATGCTAAAACGACCATTATACCGAGAGAACATACGAAAGATCTAAAAGAGAATTGAATAATGTATCTATACAAAATCTCATTTTCATGTTGAATTAAGACTGTAAAAGTGGATATAAAAGTTTAATTCTAAAAATCATTAGCTTCATCAATAGAGTTTATCGAAAACTCTAAAGATCTAACATAACATTCAATATTTTATTGATTCAAAAGTTATTTTTTATTATGTATTTAAACTGCATTTGAACATATATCTGAAAGCATACTTTCTTAAAATAAGATTAGAAGATCTAAGATATACAAAGGTGAAAAGGAAAAAACACAACATACAAAGTTTGAAGACCAATGATGTAATGCCCCAGATTTTAGTAATCATATTTTAATATGTTAATATAAGTGTATATGTGTATTTTCATGTATTTATGTATTTGATGTATATGTATATATGTGCGATGATGTGGATGATTGGAATTGAATTGGAAAAATTTGGCTAAGTGTCAGGTGCAGGGAGTTCTCGCTGCAGTGAGAGGATCTTGGGAAGAAGATGTGCAACTGTCGCCTTGTCGCTATAGTAAAAAGCTTCTCGCTGCATTGAGATAGCAACAGTTTGGAGCGAGAGTGTCACAACTAGAGAAGATTTAAAGGGGCCAGGGCTTGGAAAACTCATTTTTCCCTTTTCTCTTTTCAAAGTCCCTTCGATTCTCTCAACCCAAAATCTTATTTCACCGATTAAGTTGCCTCCAAGCCTTTTGGGAGCAAGATTGAAGGTTGAAATTGTGTGGGGAACGCTTGGAGATAAGTTTTAATGGTTAGGGTTTCGAGTTTTCATCCTATTCTCTTATTTCTCGGTTTTCCTTGGTTCTCACGAGAAGTTTCTATGTATTTAGGACTAAGTTCGTGTGGGGAGCCTTCTTATTGCCGATTTTGTGTGCAGGTCTTCATTTCAGGTAAGGGGGGACTCTACTCTATCTCATTTTGTTTAATTTACCGTTCATTTTGTTGAATGTTGTGATGTGACTGAGATAGGGAGTAGGAAATGTGTGAATTGATTGTGGGGTTGACATACCCTTAATTGAAAATGTGTATGAGCATGTTGAGCAATTGATATTGAATGTGATGAGTGAAATGATTGAGCCCAATGTGGGCAAATAAGTGTGTTTGCATGTCCTTGAATGCTGACAAAAATGAGTATAGATGGCATGTTGAAATGTTGTGTGTATGAAATGGACATGTGTGTTGTGTGTGGTAGATGAATGTGGGCCAGTGGGCCGTATACCGTGAATGAATATGGGCACTTGTGCCGTATGTGTGAATGAATATGGGCCTATGTGCCGTATAATTTTAATGGCTATGGAAAATTGTGCTGCGTGCTATGAATGAGTAATGTGTGTGGTTAAAATGTGAGTGTGAACGGGACATGTTGAATGTTGTTGTAATGATGTTGTGAATGGTTCAGCGATACACTCGAGGGGTGGAAGATGAGGACGGTAGAAATACCTTGGGAAAGAGAGAGTGGTGGTGACACTAACAGTAAGCGTGGGTATACCACGGGCCACACACTCTCCTCCTGACTAGACCTCTGACCACTACCTTTGTTGAGCGACCCGTGACTGCCCACGCGGTATCGGTGAGGCGGGGTGATCGACGACCATTCATGATGTGAATCTGTGATCACAGTGCTAGAGTGAGCATGTCTAGGTGCAGTAAGAGCACGTGTGTAAATTGTTATAATGTCGTGAGTGCATCGGTTATGAATTGGAATGAAATGCTTGAAATGTTGCTTGTAATTACCTAGACTTGAGTAAATATGCTAGAATACCTATAGATATACATGGTGAGACTCTATGTTGGATAGTTTAGAGTACTCACCCTTACATTTATTTTTCAGGTGACCAAAACTATCAGCACCAGACTCAGTGAAGGAAAGATGAACCGCTATAGGACTTAGAATGTATTTTGAAATTATGATGTAATTAAATTAGTCTTGTAGCAGTCTTTGATATAAATTTGTAATTTTTTATTGTTTTGAATTGTTTTATGAAACTTTGTGATGAGATCTTTTATTTAAATGAAAATTTTATCACTCCCATTTTGTGAAATTATTATCTGAAAATTAATTTAAGGTGTTACATGGTTCATATTTTTAAAAGAAAAATTTATTTACTATTTTATATTTTTTAGTTAGGCTCTTACAATTTAATTATTAAATGATTGATATGAGATTAGCTCTTTTTTTTAAGAATTATTTATGTATGACACACATACAAAATATTTTTCACACAAATATTTTCTTTAATAAAATCATATTGATATTTAAATTATAAAGTAAATGATAAATATCAAATATATGTAAATATTTTATAAATTTTATAATCATATAGTATTACTGTATGCTTATTATTTATTAATAATAATATTTAAATTTTATTTTTTATATTTTAATTTAAAATAATATTTTCCTATATAACATGTGCATTACAAGAACAACTATAATTTATTAAATTTAAATAATATTATTCTTACAATTTATTTACATTGAAAGAAATTTTTGAAAGATATAAAATATAAAAAATATTGTTAATTCTTATTTTTGTTATTTTAACTAAGTTTATTATGTATTTTTATTATAATTTAGTTGTTAAATAATTTTTTTTCAGATAAAAAAGTATAATTTTTTCTTTATATATGTATATTTTTTTTATTACAAAATTTTATTGTGACCATTTATCTTTTATTCAAACTTTTTCTATTAAAATTTATATACATTATAAATATTTAATTCATTAAAATAATTTTTCAAAAATTTATATTTTTGAAAAAAATACTTTCACGCAGTACATGAGTTAAAAATACTAGTATATATATATATAATTAAATATATTATATTATTTTAATTAAATTTTTTATTTTTCTTACAATTTCAGATTCAATTTTTTTTAAAAAAAATGTGTTGTGTGTTAACTTTTTATTATCTTTTAGTATTTGAGCTTCTCTACCCTA